GCGAATATCGAGAAAATCATTGACTAGAGTCTCCAATTATATCTTGTCTGTTATTCTTCATGAAATCTGTATAAAGTCAATTAGGTAAGCAGTACAGACTCTCCATCAAATGTACAATAATAATATACCTACTGGATGACAATCTGTTTAACTAATATCACAAAAACACTTTTACAATTGAAGAGACTATATGTATTTAATGACGAAATTCAACGATACAAATGAAATGAAGCGATAATAGGACATTTTTGAGGTTCGAATTGAAGATTATGACAATGATATTGGTTGTCAGTTGTTTTGAGATCCAACTTCGGTTGTCGGAGTGCTGTCCTTGCATTGCCAATCATCGACCTTAAGTCTGCATCCGATCCTCCTTATTCATAGATGATGCTTTTCAAGTACGTGAAAGATTTCACATCGTCCAGATCTTCTCCATCATGTGTGATTAAGTTGATGTTCTCCGTGTTGTATCCGAAAATGTTACTTTATCTTTAGTGTATTTTGAGGCCCATTGATGCAGAAGTTGCTGCTGACCGTGAGGACCAGTCAAATAGCTGTGAAAATGGGGATAAACAACTTGTCAGTACTCGGAATCAGCGAAACCTATTGGACTCAAACTGATGTTGTCTAAAGAATCACGAAATGCACTTATTAATTGGGAATTAGCGTAGGAAATAGAGTACAAAATATTATGTTTAGATTACAATAGCTTCGGAACAAAAAAGGGTGTGGCAATGAATCATACGTCGAACGAAAACTTACGTTCTGTAGAATAGATTGGGGACAAAAATAAATGTTAGTGTTTTTTAAGCTCTGCATAAAATGGAATAACGTCCCGAAAAATAGCTTTCGTAGTTTGTCTTGTTTTCCTGTTAATAACACAATGATAGCAAGGACGACATTAAAGATCATTGCTATGAGAGGCTGCAAGTAATCATAGCAAAGTGCCCAAAAATAATATGATCATCCTGATGGGAGACCTAGAAGCACAATATTCCCACACAAACGCATACTTAAAGCTACATGGATCTCACCAGATCACACCACGGAGAACCAGATAGATCATATTGTTATCAATAAAAAATCCATAAGGTCAAGGAAGACGCGAGAACCAGGAGAGGATCTGACATCGCTTTAGATTACCACCTGTTTCTGGCCAAGATGAAACTGTTTCTGAAGAATCACTAAACAACTTCGGAAATAGCGGTACAAAGTTTTAATGCAGTCTTCTTTCCACATACCATGAAATTCAACGAATTCAAGATAACTCTCAACCAAAGGTTTCAAGCCCTATTGGATCTTGTGAAAGATGAAGAAGCTACGGTGGACTGATGTGAGCATACTTTGCAGCTACGATGGAGGACAACTGGAAAAGGATCAAAGAAGTATCAAAAACAACGTTTCGGAAGGCGGTGTGCCCCAAGAAGCAGCATCATGAGGAATGGATCTCCATCGAAATCCTGGGTAAGCTCCAAGAAAGGAAGGATAAGAAGATAGCAATTAATAACAGCCATACATGAGCAGAACTCCGCCTGGAGTCCCTCCGGGGGCTACTGCCGGTCCCAAGCCCGGATAAAGGAGGAGGGTTGGGCATGGGGTTAGCGTCCCCATCCCGTAGAAAACTAACTCGCTAAAAAAACGCTAACCAGAAAGAATTATTCAAACCTTTTAACCTCTGCCCTGGTAGTCAGAAGGTCTTCATTTAGAAGAACTATGACGCCTCATGATGAAAGCCGAATTCCTTCGGAAGTTACGAGGCCGATGCCCTTTCTGACAACCAGAGCGACCATTTATTTAGGTACATGGAATGTTCGTACAATGTGGGACACCGGGAGAGCTTTCCAAATTGCTGCAGAAATGAGAAGATACAACCTAGAGGTACTTGGGATCAGTGAAACACATTGGACGCAAGTTGGACAACAACGACTAACTTCAGGAGAGCTTCTGTTATACTCCGGCCATGAAGAAGAAAATGCCCCACATACACAAGGAGTTGCATTGATGTTGTCCAAACAAGCCCAAAATGCGCTTATAGGATGGGAATCTCATGGATCAAGGATCATCCAAGCCTCGTTCAAAACAAAAAAGGAGGGCATTACAATGAATATCATCCAATGCTATGGGCCTACAAACGACTACAATGAAGACGCTAAAGATCAGTTCTACAATAGGTTGCAGTCAATCGTCAAGAAGTGCCAAACAAAGGACCTGGCCATTCTGATGGGAGATTTCAACGCCAAGGTTGGAACGGATAACACTGGATATGAAGACATCATGGGACGATATGGACTGGGGGAAAGAAACGAAAATAGTGAGAGATTTGCAAACTTATGTGCCTTCAATAAACTGGTCATAGGCGGCACCATATTCCCACGTAAACACATTCACAAAACCACATGGACTTCACCGGATCACACCACGCAAAACCAAATCGACCATATTTGCATCAACAAAACGTTCAGGAGGACTATAGAGGACGTGAGAATCAAGAGAGGAGCTGATATAGCCTCAGATCATCACTTGCTGGTCGCCAAGATGAAATTTAAACTCAAGAAACACTGGACAATGGGGCGGACAATATCACAAAAGTTCAATACGGCCTTTCTTCAGGATACTAACAAACTCAACAAATTCAAGATAGACCTCAGCAACAAGTTCCAGGCCTTTCATGATCTACTCAATGCAGATGGAACTACTGTGGAGAGCAACTGGAAGGGGATCAAAGAGGCAACCACTTCAACATGTCATGAGGTCCTGGGTCACAAGAAGCACCATCATAAGGAATGGATCACTGTTGATACACTGGATAAGATTCAAGAAAGGAGAAACAAGAAGGCAGCAATCAATACCAGTCGAACAAGAGCAGAAAAAGCCAAGGCACATGCTGAATACACAGTAGTAAACAAACAAGTGAAGAGGAGCATCAAAACCGACAAACGTAAATACGTGGAAGATCTGGCAATGACGGCGGAAAAGGCTGCAAGAGAAGGGAACATGAGACAACTGTATGACATAACAAAAAACTCTCTGGAAATCGCCGAGAACCAGAACGACCAGTGAAAAGCAAGGAATGCGAGGTAATCACCAACATTGAAGAGCAACAAAACAGGTAGGTAGAACACTTCAAAGAACTCTTGAATCGACCAGCTCCACTGAACCCACCCAACATCGAAGCATGTGTGAGAATGGTTAGTCGTGGAAAACTAACTAAATACAATCACACAGTTCCAATAAATGAAAACGGTGAGAGGAGACGTTCCCCTATAGAATATTCATGAATCGAACTCGTTATTCAATTATGAAAGTGTAGATGATCAATCACTGAGCAATAATAAACTCATTGAATGTTCTGTGTTATTTACATGTGTTGTGAACAAGAATACAGGTGGGCGTAACCGACTGTATTTAGTTGCAAAATTACAGAATCTCTTGATAAAAGATGGGAATCATAGATTTACATTTATTTGCAAATTTGCATCATTTGTCCTTGATATTGTGGATGTTTTTCCCATGTCACAATTTCTTTCTGTTTTCTTCAAGTAGACTCTCAAAACTCTTAGTTACCGAATACGCACTATATGTTTTGTGGATATAGTTGAAAATGTGCTAAACACTTTGAGGAACCTGAAAAGGAAGTTGAATTAATGTTGGCCCTAACGACCTGAGAGCGTGACCGCAGAGCCCAACGGACAACTGCTTGGGGCCGGTCGCGCACGGCTTTTTCGTGGGAGGTTTTTAATTTTTTAGCTCCCTCCTTTAAAGGGCCCTACCTCCGGAGACGGAAATCCATGAAGTAAGGTGAGGCGTGACGTTTTTAGGGTCGAATTTTTCTAACCCCACCCTTCCTTGTGAGAAGGCAGCGTCGCTGCAGATGCTGGTTGTTCGAGAGAAACATCTAACTGCTGTCACACTCCTCTACAGTCAACAGTATGACTTCGCCCTCAGACCTTGAGTTGCAGCTTTTAGTCTTACCGTTCTCCAATCTACCTTTCTGGTATGGTAGAACCTACAGAAACATATGTTCCAGACAATATAGCTAGGTTGGGTCATTACTATAGGCAAGCCCGACCACCACGTCAAGGTAGCAGCTACGGTCGGGACTACTTTCAGTACTAAAAATACGTTTCCAATAGTGTGTTGCTGAACAAAGCGAAAGACTTTGTAGACGCCCAACTTCGAGATCAACAGACTGAATTCCGTAAGGATCGGTCATGCAAAAACCAAATCGTGACACTACGAATCATTTTCGAACAATCAACTGAATGGAATTCGTCACTATACATCAACTTCCTCGATTAAGACAAAGCATTTGACTGTGTGGATAGGAGGATCTTATGAAATCCTCTTCGACACTATAGTATACATGAGAAGGTTGTTAACATTATCCGTAATTCATACAACGGACTATAGTGCAAAGTGGTGCATGGTGGATAGCTGACAGATACATTCCAACTAAGGACCGGAATTAGATAAAGCTGCCAACTCTCCCCCCTTCTTCTTTCTTCTGGTAGTCGATTGGATTCTGAAGACTTTGGCATCTAAGAGAAACTTCGGAATACACTGAACAATACAGAATCAATTAGAATATTTAGACTTCGTAGATGATCTGATCATTCTATTTTATACATACAAACTAGTTTAGCAATAAGCTTTGCATCAATAGGCCACAATATACAATATTCTCAGATACAATACCGAGAACATCAACACAATTTATAATATTTCCAAAGTATTAAGTTAGTTAATGATCTTAATCATGTGATATATTCATCTTTAATTAATATAAACATTCTTAACATATTTTCAAAAGATCATTTCAAAGACTCATCTAATTATCATCTTGAGTCATTATAACTAATTATATAATATACTTTTTATGGGTTAGATGGATGGATATATATATATATATGTCTGTACTAATGTATACAATGAAATAATCCAATATAAATAAATCAAAAGTTATATAATAAGAATTATCATAGACAATAGTTTAATTAAACGTGATCTAATACACAAATCATATTCATTCTACTATTATTATCTTTAATATGACAATTAAAACAATCTTATCAAAATATCCCTTAACTTTAATCATCACAGCCATTTATCGTTTCTTAATTTTATTTACATTAATCATTCTTACAGTAATGGGTTATCAATATTTTTATCCAAATGAAAATGTTAATTTTGTGAAATTATTAAGTTTATTTAAATCACTTACTGTGATTACATTGGTAAGTAATAGATTGAATTATTACATAATTATTATGTTATATATATTCTTATAGGGTTTATCAATTGTATACTTTCTAACAGCTACATTAATTCAATGGTTAAAATGGGATAAAATACATAGTTATTTCTATGTACTTGTATTAACTTATAGTTGGGTAAGTAATATCATTTGATTGATCTATGATGAATAATGTGATTAGGTAGCTTTATGTATGTATATATTGGTTATATTATTACATCCGGGCATTTTAACTTGTAATCCGGAATTGAAGAAATTACCGTTATGGTTCAATTATATATGTGTAAGTTATCATTGAATATATATATTTATTTGTTTGTTTGTATATATATTCATTCTTTTTCTATGTCAATGTAACACAATATTGAAATATTCCTTAAGTATTGTATTCTACAGAGAGAAGCACCTTAACACTTACTGTTATGAACTGAATTGAACTTATGATAAAGTATTGGAGCGAATCTTCAATTGATAAACGATTCCTAACATTGTTGATTCATATTACCTGCAAGAAGATAGCTTCTTCTGATCAGATATTTCGAACTGAGATGTTGTAATTAATGAAATTGAACGTTGTCAAAGTGAGACAGATACCTGATAAAGGATATGTTAATAATATATTCAGTAGTTGAGATCATGAGTCAATTAAAGTTAGATCACCATGGAAAAGCTGGACGAACTGGACGGCCGTTTAGTCTTATTGCGGGACTCCTTCGTAGCAGTGCACATCGACGATCCCGCTCTCGAGATTCGAATCCAGGACCTTTCAATCTCGCGCATGCGCTTAACCACTAGACCACTGAGCTGGCCGACATCCAACGGTGTTAATGTCTAACTTCAACTAATCCACGAAATTGAGCGACACATCCACCATTGTCACCAGTGAGTTACTATCTCACAAATGATCCAGTTCGAATCCCGTGAGGCGGAGTTGTGGATGCGTACTGCTGAGGAGTCTCACAACAGGACGAAACGACCGTCCAGTGCTTACAGGTGTTCCATAGTAGTCTAGCTTCAGTTGAATCATGATCTCAACTACTGAAATTACTACAATTTCTACAAAACCCCTTCTGATAATAATATAATGATTGTTCGCACGACGAAATATCAGACACTCCATTTTAATGAAATGGTCTAATAGAATTGAACGAAACCCCCCGTTTTGAGCTAGTTTTTTTGACAGTTTTGCCACTCCTGATTATATAGTTCTAGACAGCGTTGAAACACTGAACTATAACAACCTGACACATAATTCAATTCGTAACGAGTAACTAACTCTAAACCATTCCGAATTAGCATAGAATTGTGATCATTACATTTCAGAATAATAAATAATTAAGGCTTAATTGACAATATGTTTCACATAAATCTTACACAAGTTAAATATACTTCTCCCAACTTTATTGTTGTAGAATTTAATTGTACCAGTGACAATTATGATTGACGCCTTCCTATGGAAACCGAAACCAGTTAGATTTCTGATTTCAATCTTGGTATGCGGTCTACTGGCGTTCGCTTACAATATCTTGTAAGTTAAGTTTCTTCATATCAAAATATTCATGTTTGTAACCAATCAGATCAATGATGTTTCACGGGCAAAACCAACTCTTATCTTCATTATTTTCTGATGATATTGTATTGTGCAAATTGAATGACTGAACTTTGAGTATTTTGGTCGTTGATCTGATTCAAAACACTGTTGGAGGCTTTGTAAAGAATTCGATTCAGTTGAGAGAATGCAACTATACGAAGAGGTTTCTCAATAATTTATGATGTATGTTCTCATCGAAGTGAATTCAATGGCGGTTTATCGCCTTATGAATAAACCCTAAGTAAGAGAATTTTGTGAACTATTTGTAACAGACAAACAGATCCTATTCTCTCCTAAATCAACCTGAAACAGTTACGTAAGATATAATTATTCTCCATCGAGGTTATATAGAAAGGTTTTCCCTATCTCAACTTATTACCGTTCACCGGTACTGATAGCAAATTAAAACTTATCTCATAAATGTTAATAATAATGTAACTATAAGTGTACAATATTGAATGATAGTGACGTGTGAGTTATTTATAATATATGATCGTTTATACGGACATATAGTATACAATTCACTATTCATTACTTTCGTAATATGAATGGGTTTACATATTTTGTCTTACCATTACCTTAATATTGTTGATGAATGAATTCATTGGTTGAAATCATGAGTTAATTGAAGCTAGATTACCATGGAAAACCTGGAACCACTGGATGTCCTACTATGGGACTCCTCAGCAGTGCACATCCATGATTCCGCCCCCCCACGAGATTCGAACCCAGGACATATGAGTCTCGCGCCAGCCGCCTAACCAACTAGACCACTGAGCCAACATTCAACGGTGTTAATGTCCAGGTTTTCCATGGTAATCTAGCTTCAATTGACTCATGATTTCAACCACTGAAATTTCTAAAATCTCCACAAAACCCATTCTGATAATGAATTCATTATAATCTTCTATTTATCCTATAGTGTCGAAGTTCAAATCAATAAATTACAATACAGTATGTATCCAGCTCTAGATGATATGGCTATTAGTTGTCGTCTTCTAGTATATTTTGTTACTTGGATATGTATATTCATAATCACTTTTCTATCATATCTATTTATTCGTTTACTTAATCGTGATAACAATATACAAACTATAGTAGAATTGTATAGAAGAAATAAACCAAAATTCTAAATTCTTTCAATCTTATCATCAATATATTACAATAGTCTTTACATTGAAGTGTTCAACAATGTGAATCTAATTGAAATAGAATAAGACTATTTATTTTAACAATTCATTCATGTGTTGTACCAAATCTCTCTCTCCTCAAGTTGAATTTATAATTTGATTGTTATTCACTTTCACTAAAACCTTTTCTTACAATATGTTAGTGTGAATACAGTCAATAACTATTCAAATATAATGTCCTATTCATGTAATTGTGTTATATTCAACTTCACAATTGATTGATCACTGGATGCTGATCAATGTCATGCTTGTCTAGTCCTTATTAGTGCAGATCGAATGCTATCGATCATGTTTCAATGTGGCCACCAGTCTAGGTGACTCGACACTGCGGGCACTATGTATTGAGATTTAGATGGTGGTTGGAGGTAGTCAACAGGGTTTCCTGTTGACTACCTCCAACCACCATCTATATTCAACTTCATTTGATTGAATTTAGAAGATGGATATTTTACACAAAACCAGATCTAATGAATTAAGTTTGTTTAAATGATTTGATAAGTTTGTAGTACATGTCACATGGATATGCTTTAATTAGTTGTATAGAAGTGATTGGAGATTGTAATATGGTGGGAAGCTGACAATAGTTTGTTACATGAGAAACTCAATCAATATAAATTCTCAGTATAGGGTTACGGAGATTATTAAGTTTTTGATTAAGATCATGAATCGATTGATGTTAGACCACCATAGAAAACCTGAAAGCATTGAAAAGCCGTCCCGTCCTATTGTGGGACTCCTCCGTAGCATTGCACATCCATGATCCTGCTCGTAGAATTCAAACCCAGGGTCTTCAGTTTTGCATGCGAACGGTTAACCAACTGGTATCTAACGGTGTAAGTATCTAGCCTCAACCAATGCACGAATCACAACTCTTCGAATCCCAAGAGTGGAATCGTGGACGTACACTGATGAGGAGTCCCACAATAGGACGAAACGGTCTTCTAGTGCTTTCGGGTTTTGAATAGTGATCTAACATCAATCGCTTCATGATCTCAATCAATATAAATTCTATTTAATAAATCTTCACTATCAACATAGGTTTCTGAAAACAGTTACCAGATGTTAGCATAGTTGACTTGACTTAAAGGCTGATCCAATCACTATACAATGTATGTGTGGAGATATATCGACTGTGAGACGGTAACCTTAGAATGATTCATTTAGATCGTTGAATTTCGTCATTAAATACAGATAGTCTCTTCAATTGTAAAAGTGTTTTTGTGATATTAGTTAAACAAATTGTCATTCAGTAGGTATATTATTATTGTACATTTGATGGAGAGTCTGTACTGCTTACCTAATTTACTTTATCCAGATTTCATAAAGAATAACAGACAAGATATAATTGGAGACTCTAGTCAATGATTTTCTCGATATTCGCCTTCAAGATAAGATGAAACGAGTTTTGTGTGGTTACAATTAGTATGGTTTGATAATCCGACATAGACTGCCAGTAGATCATCAGTCTGCTGTTACCATTTGTCAGTAATATATTTGTCTATCCATCGTTCATGAGTTAAATTTCTTCAGTTGAAGCATGGTCAATGGTTTCGACAATCATGAAAACGTGTTTAATTCTCACCATTATCAAATACACATGCCAATGTGTCTTGTAGACCATGTCTTCACTTCACTATTCTCAATACGATTATAATGTGATTTGAGGAAATTCATTCAATGTAGTGTATACTAGTTTACAGGTGTTTGACCGAGATCATTTTACCAGTTCATTAACAATCCCACTTGACTCTAAACAGATACTTACAGGAATTGTATGCACTGTATGTATCTCATAATATTTGGTACGACAGGATAAGTGGATGACATTATTAATTAGGTCAACATCTTCTCTATTGATTCATGATGGAACTCGACTAGGATGATTGATATGAGCTTCGTTCAGAATGACAACTTTATTCCTTGTATTATTTCAGTCGAATTGTATTCAGTGTGTTTCTTTACTGTAACCCTCTCTCTCTCTCTCTGTCTATTTTCTCACATATGCGATATTGTGAAGTGTGTGTAGAGATTAGAACATAGTTGATTGTATTGTGGTCTAATGACGATATGATTTTGGACATGATTGACGGAGTTATTTTGAGACAAATTTTGATGAGTCGACATTAACACACGCCGATACATCAGACATAATAACAATGGCGACCTGAACTCAACAATATTGATTAGAGCAAACATACTTCAAACGGATTGGTCAGGACTATCACAACAACATCGGTGTTGATGTGTGTGTGTGTGTTTCTCATTGTTGTAGTTGATCAGTATACAAGTGAACCAACGTGAAATGATCAATAACACTGAACGGTATTAAGATGAATTAGCACATAATTAGGTAATTTAGATAATTAAGTTCACTAAAAATAGTTCTTGACTGATTAGCCGCATTCATTAGCATTCAATCGGGATGGTAAATAATGAGCAAGAGAGAGACAGACAGAGAAAGAGAGGAAGAGTGAGAGTGAGAGATTAATTAATAAATTAGAGATATATACAGGTTGACATTCTAGTAAGACTATTGTATTCTCATTCATTGATTCACTACAGAGACAGTTGCAAAACAAATGCAACCATATTCCATTCACATCATTCACATTGTAATCATGTAACCGGTAGAATGTTACTTTTAATAGAAGTCAATACAAATTGTTTATGCTGTCAATGATTTCTATGTAAGTGTTGAGTTATACATGGAATGGGAAATGAAAGGAATTCGTCTACAGTGATGAGACGATGAATTAAAATATACAAACAATACGAGTTACGTACGATGAAGTGATATTGGGTGAGTTGATCAGTCGGGAATCGGTTGAATGTTGAGTGGATGTGATTAGTCATGATAAGGTTTTTATTTTCGAGAAATGATTCATCGCAGAGGTTATTCCATGTTTATTTGGCTCCAATATATGATGTCCGGTTAACTGAGTATTTGATCAGGTCGATTCTCCTAGTATTATTGTGATTGTTCAGAAGCCAGACAACCAGTTGTTGGGAGAATGAATGGTGTATAATCAATAAAATCCACAAACATGAAAGAGGCAAAATACACTGGGTAGTGAGTGTGTGTGTGTGTGTGTGTGTAAAGGATTGCAATCTCTAAATGTGGGTAAATTATTGGTTGTCAGTGTTTTCAACCACAAGGAGGATGGAAAACACTTGAAGTGCAGAATGCTTCCAATCAGACACAAAGATAGATTTCATAGTGGGTTAATTGTCTAAATTACGGTGAGTAGGTAATGTAAAATTCGATGAGCTGAAACATATAATCTCCTATCCAGAACTTTGATGTCTATAATAATTTGAACATGTTTATTTGGACAAAGAAATAACAAAAGGTATTCGTTTTTAAAATAAATGAATCTAATACGTAGATAGTCCTAAGATTTTGTATTCATCGCTGTCGTTACCATAAACCATATACCTTTACATGAGAATGGGAGTCATATTTGGAGTTTCGTATCGTTGACGTTTTCTCAAACAGAATACCAAATCACTCTTCAAAGTCACCAGTCTGCGGAAAGTCAGCATAGGCTGTACAATAGTCACTTTCATGAAACACTTTTTCTTTGTTCAGTTATAGGGACAATGATAATGATTAATTTCCATGTTCGTGAATACCTCCTAGAGTGGTTAAAAAAAGGTTTAGTGAAGAAAATGAACAGCTCTATATTGACCCATTTAGTACAAACTAGGTATAATCTGTTATAACTTGTGGCCTGTGCGACCTGCTAATCTATAGCGTAACGATACCATCAATTAGAGAACAGTGACTTATCGATCGGACGAGTGACGCAAAAAACACATTCGAGCAGTTTAAAGTCGTTATTGGTCCTGCTTCCTGACTAGCCCAGCCGGTTAAGTCCAGAACACCAATCTGAGCCTCTGCGATATGAGTCGTTTATTTCAAACATACGTTTGCACAATAATTAGCCAAATGTGGCTGTGAATGAGGGAGGTAATGATTAATAGACAGAATCTAATCGAAGAATGTTCATAGGTTAAAATAAAGCTCACAATAAGGGGGATATGAATATGAATAGCTTACTTAATTAACAATTATACGATAAAAATATACGCATAATATTGGTCCACAAATGCATCCCAAAATTTACCACTCATCCATATCGGGACATAATATACTCCCAGTATAAACCGTTCCTTCTCAATTAACTGTTGAGTCAGCACGTTTTTGACAAAGGTTGTCACACTTTACGTTCTTCAAACGGAATAATTAGGTAGGAACCATCTGGATGAAGAAACCTGAGCATTATGTATAAAAGAAATAACTTCAACCACTCCTCCTCCATTGGCCAACATCAAGGCCAATTAATCAATAGTAATCTTAGCTATTGAATGACCTAATTTGACTATTATACTTACGACCTTTCATACTCAAATGTCATTGTCTCTATTATCTTTATTCACAAATCTTCGTTTGGTTAAACATCATTATTAATCTCCCCCATACATGATTCATTCACTTCTCATTCATCCCACCTTATTATGTCTTGCTAATCATTTTTTACACAATATGTCCTCCCATTAAACATTTAATCGAAATATAACTGTGCAATTATTTCTCTCTCACTCTATTTGACCCATATTTATTCGGATCATGGATCACTTAACAATTTCATTTAACATATATGCAGATTCAAGTTAACATTCCATATGAGTCGTATCAATATGTCTGTTATGTACCAGTTACTCATTGAAGACAATGGTGTGTGGATTCAAATCCAATATTAATACGGTTGGATATCGGCCCACTACTCTGTAGATTATGTGTTCGCGCACGAGACAGAAGGTTGTGGGTTCGAATCCCGCATATGAGATCATGGATGTGCATTGGTGAAGAGCCCCGTACTAGTACAAAACAGCCGTCCAGTGCTTCTAGGTATTAAATCATGGTCTAACTTTGATTCATTCATGATATCAATTTAAACCCAACAATTTCCACAACTCTATACTGATTATTCTATTTTGTTTGACAATCCTACCGTTCACATACTTTAACTTTCAACGATGTACTTTGTCCTCAATCTGACCATCATTTGGGATTATTAATTTGAATCTATGAATTGTAGAACGTGAAGTGAATTTATCGACAGGAATATTCTTCATTCATAGATTAGTCTTTTGAGCATGATGGGGTTTTTTTAAACG